TTTGGAAAGAAGTGAGAGCCAGATGTCAGTGGGTTCAAGAGGAATAGGAAGACAGGAAATAGAACAGATCAACCCAATGGGTCTGCCAAGTTCTGGCCTGGTGAGTCCAGCTCCCATTTCCTTTGGCAGTTAGTCACGTGAGCCAACAGAAACCATATGATGTCGTCAGTGCTCTATTAAAGGCAGCTGCAAAGAAGTCCAATGAGATAAATTACAGAACTCTGGCTACTATTGTAAAATGTCACTGGCTGTAATCCTGAGCTTCCTGGCAACCATGGTGAAAAGGAAAACATGTTGTTTCTATTGTCCAATATGTTATTCTTAAACTTCTGTCATTCTTGAACAGCTGTCACATTTTTGCCTTTCCTGTGGTTCTAGCAAAATTGTGACTTACTTGACATTTTTTCAAATCAATGCAATTATTTCATTTAATTACAAAATCTTAAACACTTGATATTTTTGTAAATGGGAAACCATCGTCACTAATCACAAATGCAGGATAATGACACAGATAAGTACATATCATGAAAATTAAGAATTCTTATCTGTTAATATCACTAAAATAATCCCAAATTAGACTGTCTTCTACTTACAATATGCCAGTTACATCGTGGGATAATAAAATAATGCATATAAGGTCAATTGAAGACCATCTTACTTCCGGGCATAAAATTCAAGGAAACATTTACAGCAAAAGGCACAGAGATTCTAATCAAATGGATGTTTCTTATGAACCCCTATAAAAGTTAAGGGCATGACATTAAATCTTAACACACTGAATGCTTTTCTGTGGGCAGCTAAGAGAAAGGCAGACAAGTATGTTGTTTCTGATGATCTAACCCAGGAGTCTGCAAGCTTTTTCTGTTAAAGGGCCAGATATTAAGTAATTTATTCTTTGTAGGTTGCAACAACTCTATTCTGGTCTGGTCTATGGTCTTGGTTGCAGCAGCTCTATTCTGACTTTATATCAGAAAAGCAGCCTCAGGCAATCTGTAAACAAATAGGTAGGTCTGTGTTTCTTTTTTCTTTTTTTGAGATGGAGTCTTACTCTTGTCGTCCAGGCTAGAGTGCAGTGGTGAGATCTTGGCTCACTGCAACCTCTGCCTCCCGGGTTCAAATGATTCTCCTGCCTTAGTCTCCTGAGTAGCTGGGATTACAGGTGCCTACCACCATGCCTGGCTCATTTAATTTTTATATTTTTAGTCGAGATGGGGTTTCACCATGTTGGCCAGGTTGGTCTCAAACTCCTGACCTCAGATGATCTGCCCGTCTCTGCCTCCCAAAGTGCTGGGATTACAGGCATGAGCCACTGTGCCTGGCCTGTGTTTCAATAGAACTTAATTTATGAATGATGACATTTGAATTTTATATAATTTTCACAGTATAAAATATTATTCTTTTTTTGATATTTTCAACCATTTAATAATGTAAAAACCAGCTTTAGCTTGTGGACTGTGCAAAAACAGGTAGTGGGCTGCCTTTGGCCCCTGGGGCAGATTTTCCTGAATCCTCAGTCAGGGCTCAGAGAAGCTAGTGGAATGCAGAATGGGTGTGTTCTTACCATCATCCTCTTCTCTCCGTCCCCAGTGCTGAAGGGCTTGTACAGAGTGGCGGCGAGGTCATATAAGTGAGTGGCAGCAGAGTTAGGACTAGAACTCAGAATTTTCTTTTTTGGATTTTGTGCTCTTCCTGCTGCTGTCTCCCAGGTGGAGGAAGCGTTTACTCTGTGCCTGGCTGATTTGGATAGAACCTCACTGAATCTCTTTGTAAATAGAATTTCACTTTGTAAATATAATCTCATGGAATCTCTTTGTAAATAGACCCTCATTTTGTAAATAGATTCCCATTTGGCATCCTTTGTGTGGCATACTGCGATCCCATTTTGCACATAAAGAAACAGAAGTTTAAAGAGGTTAGGAATTGAAAAACTGCTAAGTCATGGAACCGGAATTTATACCCAGGTCTGTCTGATTGCAGAGACTTACTGTTTGCATTATAATTGTGTAGTCCCTTTGTATTTCTTTGGCACTTGGTCACATTGGAAAAATGACTGTTAAAGAATTGCCTTGGCCACACGGGGTGGCTCATGTCTGTAATCTCAGCATCTTAAGAGGAAGCTGAGGCAGGAAGATTGCTTGAGCCCAGGAGATTAAGACCAGCCTGGGCAACATAATGAGACCCCTGTCTCTCTCCACACATACACACATAAAATTAACTGGGCGTGGTGGCATGCACCTGTGGTCCCAACTACTCAGGAGGCTGAGGTGGGAGGCTCGCTCAGGCTCAGGCTGTACCTTTGCACTTCAGTCTGGGTGGCAGAACAAGACCCTGTCCCTCAAAAAAAAAAAAAGAATTGCCTTGATTTTGATAATGGCTCTTTTGACAGTTTTCTTTCTCTCACCCACCCAAGCGCATCCCCCACAAGACTGCTCTGCTGTTTAATTATAAGCAAGTGGCTTGTGGGGGAAGAAAGCATGGCCCCCACTTTTAAGGAGAAGTGGGCTCTGTGAAAGATGGGGAGAGGACAGGGGACACACAAGGGAAAAAAGGCCCTGCTTCCCCCTACCCCCGGATTCCTTTTTAAAAAAATGGTTTTATTGAGGTATAATTGACATTAAAAAATGACACGTTTAAAATGTACAATTTGACAAGTTTTGACATATTTAAACACCCATGGAACCATCACTACAATCTAGGCAATTAACATATGGGTCGTCACTCCCTGATGCTGCTTTGTAATCATTCCTTCTCACCCCCTTCCCTCCTCACTCCATCTCCTGGCAACTGTTCATCTGCTTTTCATCACTAAAGACTAGTTTGCATATTCCAGAATTTTTTAATAATTGAACTCATACAGCACATATTCTTTTTTGTCTTATTCTTTCATCCAGCATAAATATTTTGTGATTTATCTTAGTATGCATCAATAACCAATTCCTTTTCATTGCTCTGTAGTATTCCACTATATGGATATACCAAATGTTTATCCATTCACCTGTTGATGACATTTGAGGTTTTTGCAGTTTTTGGTTATTACAAATAAAGCATCTATGAACATTCACATATAAGTATTTGTATGAACACGTTTTTATTCCCCCACCCCCACGTTTTTATTTCTTTTGTGCAAATATCTAGGAGTAGAATGGCTGGATCATATATTAAGTGCATTTTTTTGTTTTTTATTTGAGAAATTGCCAAACTGTTTTTCAAACTGGTTCTGCCATTATATATGCCCATCAGTGTGTAAGAGTTCGCTTGTTCCAAATTTATTTATTTATTTTTTATTTTTGCGACAGAGTCTCACTCTGTCACCCAGGCTAGAGTGCAGTGGCCTGATCTGGGCTCACTGCAACCTCCACCTCCTGGATTTAAGTAAATCTCCTGCCTCAGCCTCCTGAGTTGCTGAGACTACAGGCACCTGCTGCCACCCTCAGCTAATTTTTGTATTTTTAGTAGAGACGGAGTTTCACCATATTGGCCAGGCTGGCCTCAAACTCCAGACCTTGTGATCTGCCCGCCTCAGCTTCTCAAAGTAATGGGATTACAGGTGTGACCCACTGTGCCCGGCCTTGTTCACATTTTTGCCAACATTTGATGTGGTCAGCCCTTCAAATGTAGATATTCTGATACATATGTGACTTTAACTTGCATCTTCTGATGACTGATAATGTTAAGCATCTTTTCATGTGTTTATTTGCCATTTGTATATCTTCTTTGCTAAAATGCCTGTTCAAATCTTTTGCCCATTTGAAAAATTGTGTTCTTTGTTTTCTTTTTATTGAGTTTTGAAAGGTTTTTGTTCTAGATATGTATCCTTTTTTTTTGAGACGGAGTTTCACTCATGTTACCCAGGCTGGAGTGCAATGGCACGATCTCGGCTCACCGCAACCTCCGCCTCCTGGGTTCAGGCAATTCTCCTGCCTCAGCCTCCTGAGTAGCTGGGATTACAGGCACGCACCACCATGCCCAGCTAATTTTTTGTATTTTTAGTAGAGACGGGGTTTCACCATGTTGACCAGGATGGTCTCGATCTCTTGACCTCGTGATCCACCCGCCTCGGCCTCCCAAAGTGCTGGGATTACAGGCTTGAGCCACCGCGCCCGGCCAGATATGTATCCTTTTTTTAAAATCTGTGGTTTTCTTTTAAATTATCTTAAGTCTTAGGATCACACATAATTTTAAAATTTGTGCATATATATCTCCTCTACTTTAATCCTTTTAAGTTGGCAAAACCACCATTCTCAATCACAAATACACAGTAACTCTATGGTTTCATGTTTCTGAATGGCTGTTTAAAGATAATCCTAAATTGTAACTTAGTTTGACTTAGATTGTAAAGAATTCAAGAGTGAAGCTTAACTTGCTACTATTTTAAAAGCATGTGACCTTATAAAATATGAGAAGTGTTAAAAAAATCTTTTATATTAAACATAAACCACACTAAAATGCCTTTCAATGAGTAAAAGGAACCATTTTAAATACAGGGAATTCTAATTAGATTGGCATAGTTAAGGCCAAAAATATAAAGTAGATATTGTTAATCTTATTTATCTTCAACCCTTGCCTTTCAGAGGCAAATGAACACAAAACACAGGGGAATCTTGCTTTGTTCTGAGACAGTGAAGGAATTTCCCCAGTATTTAAATATGTTCACATAACCAGTTATATGAATCTAAATATAAAATCAATCTCCAGTAAGTTTTAAGATGGCACTTACCATCATTGTGAAAAGCTGGACATTACTAACCAAGTCTAATCATATCTTTAGAAGGGGTAAACAGTGATAGCATTTACTGAATTGGAATTACTATTAAAATTCAAAAAACTGAACATATTCATTTAACCACAAGCCAGTCTTAGTTTTACATCAGGATTGCCCAACAAAATATTCTGTCCATCATTCATGATCTAAATTCTGATGTATGAGATTTATTAAAGTATGGTACCCATAAAAAAGTCATGAGACATTTCTGTTTTATAATAAATAAGGCAGTGGCCAATTATTCATTAGTAGCTTTTTTGAGATAAGCTATTAAGTCTGCCCTTTCTGCCTTCTTCTTAATGCCAGCAAAGATCATTTTTGTTCCAGGGATGTACTTCTTGGGATTCTCCAAATACTCCATCAGGATATCCTCTCTCCAGGTGATGCCTTTGTTCTTATTGACATCTGTGTAAGAGAATCCAACAGCCTGACCTGTCCTCTGTCCAAAGAGACCATGGAGATTAGCCCCAGTCTTGTGCTTGCCTCTATTTTCCATGGTGTGCCACTGGGCACACTTCTGAACAAAAATCTTCTTGTCTTTCTCAACATCACCCATATTTAATTCTTTTTTTCATCATTGGTGCAATGAAGGTTCCCACTCCTAAGCTGGTCGTCCCACTCTCTAGATACATATGCTTGATCAGATACATGATCACAAATATTTTTTTCCAGTATGTGGCTTGTCTTTTCACTCTCCTAAAAGACTTTCAGGCCAGGCGAGGTGACTCATGCCTGTAATCCCAGTACTTTGGGAGGCTGAGGCGGGCGGATCATGAGGTCAGCAGTTTGAGATCAGCTCGACTAATATGGTGAAACCCTGTCTCTACTAAAAATACAAAAATCAACCGGGCATGGTGGCACACACCTGTAATCCCAGCTACTCAGGAGGCTGAAGCAGGAGAATCGCTTGAACCCGGGAGGTGGAGGTTGCAGTGAACAGAGATGGTGCCACTTCACTCCAGCCTGGGCGACAGAGCGAGACTCCGTCTCAAAAAATAAATAAATAAATAAATAAAAAACAAAAGACTTTCAAAGACCAGGAGTTTTAAACTTTGACAAATTCCAACATCATATTTTATGGATTATGCTTTTAATGTCTTAACTAAAAAAATCTTTGCTGAACCCAAGATCACAAAAGTTTTTGACTTATGCATTCTTTTAAGGTTTTAGAGATTTCGATTTAACATTTCATTCTATGATTCATTTTGAGTTTGTTTTTGTATATGGTGTAAGGTGTAGGTCAAAGTTCAACTTTTTCCATACGGATATTTAGTTATTCCAGTAGCATTTATTGAAAAGACTGTACTCTTTCTGCTGAATTGCCTTTGTACCTTTTTCAAAAATCAGTTGATCTTCTGTGTGGGTCTATTTCTGGATTCTGTATTCTATTCTGCTAATTTATTTGTCTATATTGATGCCAATATGGCACCATTTTGATTACTGTTGCTTTATGATGAGCCATGAGATCAGGCTGTGTTAGTCCTCCAACTTGGTTCTAAAAGACTCCTCCAACCTTCCCTCTCATCAGAAAACAAAGCTAGAGTTGATGTAAAGAGCTCTGGTCCTTCCTTGCTTGGACATTGACTTGAGAGATTTTTTTGGGGGACCAATCTTCCTCCAACCTCAACCAACTCTGCTAAGCTCCATTGGCTGTCCTGGAGACACTGGAAACCCTAAGTTCTTGCCATACCACAGCCTCAGTCTCTCTGAATGAAGTGGCCATGTCTTGTGCCTTGAGACCAAAGTTCAGTTTCCAAGGAAAAGAAGACAAGCATACAGTGATCACAAGAGGGGCCCAGGGGGTAGCCTAGCACATGTCTGCCCTGTTCTGTGTTGGAATGTAGGAAATGGACTCAATTAGAATCTCTCTTGTGGTGTAAAGATATGAGATAGACAGAATGGAGGCCAGATGGCCCTTTCTGAGAGGAAGCAGGGTAGCCTGGTTCTTTGAACTGTTCTATCCTAAACGTGCTTTGGTTCCCATCCTTTTCTCCCCAAATCTGCCCTTTGCCCAGAGGCCTCTGTTAAAGCCACCACCATACTTTTGTTGTACAAGCCAAAGTCATCATGGACACTTCTTACTGCTTCACTCCCATCACCAAGTTGGTCCCAGGTGCTGTCACTTCCACCTTCTAACTTTCTCCCCCACTCATCCTCCTCTCTGTCTCCTTGGTAACCACCTGGCCTATCGGCTATTATCTTGCCCATGAACGGCTTCAATGGCACCAACTGGTCTCTCAGCTTCCTCTCTGGTTACCACAGGGCTCCCAGAGGAAATTTTTTTAGTTAAACTTTTTATTTTGAGATAATTATAGATTCTCATGCAGTTGTGAGAAATAATACAGAGCGCTCCCATGCACCCTTCACCCTGTTTGCCTCAATAGGAATGTCTTGCAAAACTATAGTATAATATCACTACCAGGATATCCACATTGATCAAATAAAAAACAGTCCTGGTGTCACATAGATCCTTTGTTGTATTAGTTTCCTAGGGTTGCTGTAAGAAATGACCGTAAATGTGGTGGCTTAAAAAATAGACATTTGGCTGGGTGCGATGGCTCATGCCTGTAATCCCAGCACTTTGGGAGGCCAAGGCAGGCAGATCACCTGAGGTTGGGAGTTTGAGACCAGCCTGACCAACATGGAGAAACCCCATCTCTACTAAAAATACAAAATTAGCTGGGCGTGGTGGCAGACGTCTGTAATCCTAGCTACTCAGGAGGCTGAGGCAGAATTGCTTGAATCAGGAAGGTGGAGTTTGCAGTAAGCTGAGATCACGCCATTGCACTCCAGCCTGGGCAACAAGAGCAAACTTCTGTCCTAAAAAAAAAAAAAAGACATTTATTCTCACCATTTTGGAGGCCAGAAGTCTGAAATCAAAGTGTTAACGGGGCCATCCTCTCTCTGAAGGTTCTAGGGGAGAGCCTTTCCTGCCTCTTCCAGCTTTGGGTGGCTCCCAGCATTCCTTGGTTCGTACCAGCCTAACTCCAATCTCTGCCGGCACATTTACCTCCTTTCTTCTCCGTGTCTCTCTGTGTATGTTCCCTTCTCTTTCTATTAGGACGTCAGTCATTGGATCTAGGGCTCATCTTAATCTAGAATGATTTCATCTAGAGATCCTTGTATTAATTACATCTGCAAGTAAGGTCCTATTCAGAGGTTCTGGGTGGACATGAATTTTGGGAGGATACTATTTAACCCACGACACTGGTATATTAGTTGGCCCAGGCTGCCATAACAAAATACCGCAGACTGAGTGTCTTAAGCAACAGATATTTATTTCTCATGGTTCTGGAGGCCGGAAGTTCAAGATCAAGGTGCTGGCTAATCCAGTTCCTGGTGAGGACCCTCTTCCTGCTTGCGGATAGCCACCTTTTCGCTGTGTTCTAACATGATGGAGTAAGAGAACGCTGGTGTCTCTTCCTCTTTTAGTAAAGGCATTATCCCTATTAGATTAGGGCCCCACTATTATGATCCCTTTTAACCTTTGTCACCTATTCACAGACCCTATCTCCAGTAGAATCATATTGGGGGTTAGGGCTTCAGCATATGAATTTCGGGGGCAGGGGGCACAACCATTCAGTTCATAACAACTCATGCTGCCCATTTATAGCCAAACTCTTCTCCTTCCTTCTCACCCCAACTTTGACCCCTGACAACCATTAATCTGTTCTCCACTTCTGTAATTTTGTCACTTCAAGAATGTTATATAAATGGAATCATACAGTATGGAATCTTTAGGGATTGGATTTTTAACTCAGCATAATTCCCAGAGGGGTCTCTTAAAGATGCAAATCTGAGCAGGTCATACCTCTACTTCCAACCCTTTATTGCCCCTTGCTGTCCCTCTGCCTGGACCACACCCCCTCACGCAGCCCCTCACTCTTCCTCCTTCAGTCTCAAGTTATGTCACCAAGGCTTCCTCTAAACATGCTGAAGGCCACTGTCTTGTCCTCTCCCTTTCTAATGCCTATAGTATTGGTAAATAGTTCATCAGTGTTGTCTTACTTTCCAGGAGGGAACCTATCTTTTTTGCTTACATTCTAATTCCTAGAGTGAATGCTTGGCATATAGAAGACATTTAATGAATGTGTGAATGAATGAATGAATCAATAATGTAAGGTATTTGCGTAGAAAATTATACCTAGGAGGTGCTCATGGTATGGCTAATGGAAGGATAGAAGGAAAGAAGGAAGGAAGAAAAAGAAAGGGAGGGAGGGAGAGATGGAGGGAAAGAGAAAGGAAGGCGTCTCCTGTGTTCTGTAGCTTTAGAAACTCTGAGACTCAGAATAATGATATGGCCACAGAGATGCCACTCGAGCTGCCCTCTGTGACCTTTCCATGAACTCACCACAGAACGTTCTGTTGGATAGCATTAATCTGGAAGGAATCACTCCTCTCCCATGCTCAGTCCACATGCTTGATGGAGTTGACTACCTAAAGATGTGTGGATGAACATGTGACCTGCAACTTGCCAATCGGGGTATTGCATATGACTCAAGTCATACTCAGAACAAACGTTGAGACTTTTGCCTACATGATCACAAAAAGACATTCCCTTTCCACTGATATAAACTGAGGGGTGGGGGTGGGGGGGGAGGAATTTAGACGGGAGCTATTGGCAGCTGTTTTGTTCCGATTCAGAACCGGAGAATGAAGTTGTTAAAGATGGAAAGTGGAGCTGAGAATTGGGTCTTGACGATACTTCTCGAATCTTTAGACTGAAATTGTGCCTGAGGAGAGAGATTTGAATTCAGTGCACCAAGTAAATTCCTTTTTTGTTGAAGATATTTTTTTCTTACTTGCACAGAAAGAATACTGATTAAACACAGGGTACCCACTGCCAGTCACTTCCCCTTTACCCTCAGGGTCCCCGTCTGAGAAGAGAGAATGTTGAAATAAGTAGCTCACTTTAGTTCTTCAAGCATATATTGAGTGCACATTGGCAGGTATTTGTGCTTCGTACAGAATGGCAACTTAGATCCAGTCCTTTCCCTGCAAGAATTCATGAGTATAAACCTAATAGTAATATGCTATGAGAAGTGCTTATGACTGACATGGACAAAATGCTCTGGAACCACAGAGGACGTGCTTCATTCCGCCTTGGAGAAGACTTTACTGAGAAGGTCTCATGAAGCCTGGGTTTTTAAAAATGACCCTGTAGGGTTTTTCTGAACAAAAAACTCAGGGGAAGGCATTTTAGTTAAGAGGAAAGTATGAGCAAAACTCCAAATTAAGAAAGCTTACGATGTGCTTGTAAAAGAGTAGTTCATTAGTCTCAGAGCTCACATTATAAGGGTAGAAAGGGTGGGCTACCACCTAGGAGAGGCTGGTGGGGCCTGGGTGCCATGACCAGGCTTAAATGCCATGCTGGGGACTTTAGGCTTTCTTCTGGAGAAGAAATGGAAGTGGGGGAGTATGATGATCAGACTTGCATTTAGAAAGATTACCCTTGTGAGCAAGAAAGATTGTGGAAGGAGAGAGATTGGAGGCAGAGCGGCTGGTTAGGAAGTTATTGCAGTTGTTACAGTGAACAATGACACAACAGAACTGTGC